AAAATCTACTTGACTGTTCATGAGTGCTTCTTCACTACAAGCCACTAGGGGTGGTTAGATAATCTTTGGCTTTGTATCAAAGTTCCTAATGGGAAATGAAGCTTCCTATTGGATGAAAGATTATTCAACCATTCACTAGTGAAATCCTCAAAGGAGCAAGACTTCTAGTTTTTCAATTCGTATTCTTCACATTCGAACACTAGGGGGAATGATATGAGAATACGACAACCTGATTGCCACAAAAACCAGGACTGCGAAATCCAGGAAAAAAATGTCTCATCGGGATCGAGGACTGCGCAGTCAGCCCCATAGAAACAAGTTGTATAAATTAGCCACAAATAATGGCAATTTCATTTTCAGCAGAACGAATGTTTATGTACTTTTAAAGATAAAAGAATTAAATAAAGTCCTTTTATTTTTATCTTGTTTCTTGTCCAAACAATGAATTAATTTTATCATTTGAAAGTTAATCAAGTACTTTAAATGTTAGTGCCGAAATGAACAGGAGACGTCCTCTTCAAGAGCACCGTAAACATAAGAGGGCCCTCTCTTATGAAACTCTCACAGAAAAAGGCTGGTTCCGAAAGAGTTTATGCCCAGAACTCAAACGCTATCGGGAAAAAATGCACCAGAAAGCTTTGCGTAATTCGACGCAAAAAAGTAAATTTTGCGCAATGCTTAAACGAAAAGCACTTTTATATATCAAAAATGTGCCAAGTAGCATGAGTACAGAAAGAAATACGAAAAGAAAGCAAAAAACTAAACTACAACACCCCTAAAACTCGGGGGATAAGAAGCATATGCGCCCCAGGAGAGGTAGGCGGATTTGTCGTCGGCTCGGGGTCTTGACCTTCATCATTATCCTCTTCAAGTTCCTCCTCTATTGCCGAAAACTCAAAACCGGAACCAGAAGAGTCACTTGCATCAGACCAAGTCGGGAGGCGCCTTTGAATAGTTGACTCCAACTCTCGGGCCTTGGCGATTTCGACATCAAAATTAATGACGCTCGCTTTGACCTCTTCCAAGGTTTTTCTGTTCATGCTATACATAGAGTATGTTTTCTTGATAATGAGGGAATCCGCTCGGTGCAGTGTTGTAAAGAGTGTGAAGCGAGGAAAAGCGGCAACACCCATTTCGCTTAAAGCGAGAAGCAAAGCGCTCACTTTTTTGAAGTGAAGCAAAAAAAATATTAAAATAAATTATGTTAAGAGGAAAGGCAGTATACCATTCTGTTAAAAACTGGGTAGCATAAAAACAGTGAAAGAAGAACTGGGTAGCATTTCAACGAAGAGGAGAAGACTGAGAAAGAAGAACCGAAGGGAAAAAAATTCGCCAGCATTTCGATGCTATTTAGATGAAGAAGAAGACTTGGAACTCTGATAGTATGTTGAAGTTGAAAAGTGTACAAGACTTGGAACCCTAGTCGCCTATTTCTCTCTATTGTTGTTGGTCGTGTGTTTTAATAAAAGAACACCTTTATTTTTTAATTAAATATGTTGGCAGGTGTTTAAACAGAGAAGCGCTCGCTTCGGTCGCCTCACTTCGCTTCGTCGCTTCTCACTTTTTAGTGCGAAGTGCACTCTTTTGCCTACCTGAGTCGCTTCATATAGTAGAAGCAATCATAGGGTCGCCTCCCTTCTCTTCTCGCTTTAAGCGAGGAAGCGACCACTTTTCACAACACTGGCTCGGCATTGGAGTTCTGATTTAAGTTGATTGACCTCAGTCGAAAGGTCATCCCGCTCAGATCTCGTGGCTCTAAAGCTGAGCTCAAGGTCACGGATAATGGTTATATAAACCTTATTGTGCTCCATGACCCTCTTATATATTTCTCATCTAACTGGGCACGCTTCTCCTCAGCAGCAGCAACCTCTTCAGCTTTGGAGTTCAAGGCTGCCTCCAAGTTATTCAATCTCCCAGTAGAGGCAACATCGTGCTCGGCTGCAGCAAGTACAACATATTGGACCTCAGACCATTTAGCCTTGGCTTCTTGAAATTGTACACTTAACTGGGAGGCTTCTTGGCTGAGGGCCATCATTTTCGGTTCGCTCGGCTGCAATCGAGCCTGCAACTCACCAGCTTCAGCTGCTTGTGCTTCCAGTACTGGGAGGCGAGCAACAACTTGGTCCCTTTCGTCTAGCAGTTGATCACGCTCAGATGTAAGCTTTTCTTATCAAGGATCAACTTCTGAAGGCCCTTGGAAGCAAGGAAGTTCGTCTGCGAAGCAAAAACCCAAGTCAGAAATTCTATCATAACAAATCAAGAAAAAACATACAGTAAAAAGAATTAGTACCATACCGCTACTGCATTATGCATGGCATTGTTTATCATACAATCCTCCGAAAGAGAGTGTATTTTCTTCTTATCTTTCTCTGAAGCCAGTGGCTTTAGGTAATTGGCGAGCTCTACGGGCCGGGACAGCAAATGACACTCAGTGGATACCGAGAGGGAGACACTCCTCCTCCTCTAAAGATCTGCAAAGGGTGCGAATAATTATGCACCAAATTCCCATGGTCTGGGGACTGGGCAGAAGGCATCCTCCTTTCGGGTGTCTGCAACCGATTGGGGTGACACAGCAGTTGCTGGTGACGAAGGTATAACCAGCGTGGAAGGAAATGAAGCTGATGGTATTGTGGGTTGAGAAGCAACTGTAGCAAAGGCAATGCTAATTGTAGGTTGCTCACCAACTGAAGACGGAAGAGGCCCGGTACTCAGCCTCACAGTACCGGGAGTAGCAGCTGGGACTGGAAAGCGAGAATTGGCATTCTCCACCAAGTCATACTCTCCCTAGAACGCTGGGGCACTGTACTCGGTTGGGGTTATAAGATCTTCAGATTGAGCATTCTGTTGAGCTGATGAAGGTCGTTTTCTTCTTTGTAGGGAAGCCCCTTCAGCACTAGCTTCCCCGTAATTATCAATCACCATAGAGACTGTGGCTGGCCGGGCACGGCTTTCTTCACCTTTTTATTTTTGCCCTCAGCTGAGGAAGAGCGTCGTATTTTAAGTTGCTTGCTCTTCGGTCGGGGACTCCGAGAGGAAGCACTTACACCAGAAGTGGATCTGGTGATGCATGTGTGGGTGAAGGCCTCCTTCAGCAACATCGCAGCCTCTGCGGAATCAGCCAAAACATCCTCCTCGAGGATGGTAACAGACCCCTGCGAAAGATCTAAATTCAATGGAAAAAGAAGTTAACCAATTTTCTTATACACAAAAATGAGATAAAGACAAGATTAGTTTCGCGAGTCAACTTACCATGATTTTTGGCCTTCCACCCGTATTTGAGGGCCAGTTCTTTCCACCGGCGGGTCTTAAGCGTGGTAATGTCCAGAATTTTCTGAACCCACTGGTCTAAGCCTTCAACCATTTGTGGTGTCCACCGAGCTGCTGAAATAATAAAAAGAGGAAGGATCAATATCAACACGAAACAACCTTTTTCAGAAAAAACACAGATGTTGAACTCAAGGAAAGATAGAGTTGTGGCAGGGATGATATCCCCGGTGGCAACAACAACGAACCGCAATGTCTATCCACGGTCGTTGTCATCATCCACCCTGGTGAGCAAAGCATAGTGGCTATATTTGTTAAAGTTTATTACTCCCCCACAAAAAATCTTGGAAGAGTAGAGGTTCATCATCTGAGCCAAGGTGACCTCCTTCTTTGTCTCCAGGCACAGTCACCTTAGACTGGCTACCGTCCGCCACACCGAAAGGCCCTCATGTGCCAAACAAATCTAGTATTTCTAGCACAGCTCCAGAGTCACGGGGTCAATTCCCCTGCTAAAAAAATACACCCAAAGTGAATGGGTACATATAAACGTTCATAAAGACCTTCTTAGGAAAGGTACTCGCTCCACTGCAGGAGTGCTAGAAGGGCAAATGGAAGAAGGGTACACACTAACAGCCCATGTACAAGAACTTGTAGAAAAAAACTTCTCTCTGAAGTCCTTAGCTGTATTGAGTCTTCTGAGAATGATGGTGCTCACCTTAGGAGGGGCAGCATCATCGCTATTTTCTTTGTTTTTTAGGAGAACTTGAGTTTTTGGAAGAGAAAGCCATGGTTAGCAAAAGGTAATGAGAGTTCTTTGAAGAACAAGATTAAAGAAGAGTGAAAGCAAGAAAGAGTTGAATGCAAAGAAGTTGAGAGAGTTTGAAGAACTGTAAAGTGTAAAAGAAGAAGAATAAGGCATATAAGTAAAGAAAAAAAAGGCGGCTAAAACCGTAGCCATGATTACCTCGAGAACTGGCAAAAATATTGCTAAATCGTGGACTGACGCGTGTTCGGAATATTAAATGCGGAGAGACGTGCGCCTAATCAAGTGTCAGAAACTGTTCAGAAGGGATCAGAAAATTTCCTGCCAAGAAAGGAATCTTCACCAACTTCCCAATGACACAAAGATGTGCTACCGGAAAGCAAGAGGACTATCTGTATAGAATAAAATCGGTTTATATTAAATACTTGAATAATAGAGCGACATGTGGAACTAGAGACAGACGAAAAAAGAGGCAAGGGAGAACCAAGACCGGGGACAGCAGCTTCGGTTGGCACCGGGCAAACCCCAAAAGGAATATTGCTAACAAGGACAAACAAATGTTTGTCACCCCATAACATTCAATGAAGAATATTCCTCAGTGTTAAATACATAATCCATTACAGAGAATTTTGGTATTCATAGCGTGTCGTTACATTCATTTTTTATGAAATACCTAATGCTTCGAGCTTTGAGATTTGAAGGGGTCAGTATTTACCCGTAAAATGGTACGGTTGAATTTATAATGTATTTTATAGATAAGCGAATCAATTTGATCCCAAAATCTCCATTCAATATTGAAATATATATTCATTTTTTATCAACAAAAAGATCCCCTAAAGAAAAAGTGGACATACGAACCACGAGATCTCACCACTTAATGTAAAATTACAGCTGATTGTCGTAATTTCTCATGACTCATTATCTCGTCATTGGCAGAACAACTCCTATTGATTAACAAGGAAAGAATTAGCAAACAAATTTGTCTATAACCATGTGGTACTTAGCGTAAGAGTTAGAAAGTTCTAAACTGTAACAATACAGCCAGAAAGAACAGAACAGTAATGGATTCAGGAGTCAACATCTTGCATTTAAATCCATTTGAAATTGCTTTCAAAAGTTGGAACATTGAATTGATATGTACAACTTTACCTATATACAGGAATGGTTCATGTCGTATATTCCACTTACCTGGTGAGAAACCAAAAACCAAAGGACCCTAATTGGGACCCTCTGCTAGCCACCATAAAAACATAAAAGAACAGCTGAACACAAAAGCCCTTCAAATTACTCCATGTTGTTCCGTCATGCCTCAATCTTTTTTCTCCTATTTGTCTTTTTCTGCTTTCCCTAGTTTTTTAATCATAATGCATACATTACCAGAAGGCTCAGTCCCTAAGAATGAGCATACTAGGAGGGTACACAATGTGTTAACCACAAAATATTTCATATAAGCTGGAAAAACATCCCAAAAAAGGAGAAGGCTTTAATTTGGATTGCACTAAACAAAAGTTGATTTCACAGATGTACATCTGGGATTTTGGGCATCTTCTCTATTTTATCGCCTCTATTAAACTCATTTGCATCAGAACTATGGGATAATAATTTTATTACCTAAGATTCTTACCGCTACTACTGCCGGATCGGATCAATGTTGACAGAATTTCAGAGAACTGAGGACGTTTTGAAGGGCAATTGTTCCAACACTTTATCATAAGAGATGTCAGGATTTGGGGGCAATCCTTTGGAATTTCAGGTCTAAGCCCACAAGCAGCAATTCCAACCGCAGCCTGTACTGGTGAGTAAGCAGAATATGCTACCTCACCAGTCACCATTTCCCATATGATCATTCCAAAACTATACACATTACTCATCCATGTCTCTGTAACACTTTCTGGATCACCTGCGATGATCTGTTAAAATAAAAAATAGAAAAAGAAGGATAAATGGTCAGCGGCATTACTTCTTTTCTCATTGATACAAAGTTGATAGCATATCGCATGGGATGAAAGATCTATGATGATTAAACTATAGCAGGATAGTCAACATCCTCCATTTCTAATTTGCTTTTAAGTAGGCTCCATGGAGATAAATCAACTTAGAAATGCTGCAAGGAAACCTAATCATGCAGCACCCTCTTTAGTTATAAAGTCATAAAGCAAAAACATTTATGATATCATATTGCGCATGCTCAATAATGATGCTAGGATAAGTGACATAAAGTTCACATTAGTAGAGCACTAATCAAAAATAACAATAATCGTGAAGTTCTCATTAGTATAACAATTCATACATACACTTTATCCAATGAAATAATCACTATGCTTAATAGTTATAGCCAACAAGTATCCTGCTTTCCGCAACTGTTAATCTACTCAATTGCAGCGAACCAAGAAAGAAAGGGGCATTTTTTAATCCTTAAGACTATGAATGTACACATGTATGAACCACAGAAGGAATTTGGTTATCAAAGAAAACGCTCCATAAAAAGTTTGTTACCCCATCAAAAACGCTCCATAAAAGTTTGTTTCCCTGTCTAAGACAGAGATGCCCTAAGGAATGAGTTACAGCATGCAGGGCCACTCATTGAAGCTCTAACACCTAGAAATTATATCTGTAGTTTCTGATGTGGGCTAGCCAATCTGAACATAGGCCCCAATCACCATGTAAGTCTTTTAGGACATTACTATATGCAGGTCATTTTGACATCTCCATTCTGCCCTCCATTGTTTTCAGTGAAACAAAGTCTTGCTTCCATTACCTTCTCATCCACACTGCACATGAGAAACTAAAAAAAAAAAAGTGTGGAGCCACGTAGAGTCCTATAAGAGCTATGGCTAATTGGCATCACCGACCTATGCTCACACTACCTTGGGCATAGAAGACGTTTCAGTAGGGGCTACCACCGCATTCCTGTTAAATATTTTACCACCTTAGCTCATAGCTCATTGGAGGGAAAACTAACATGTGACCACCAGCAAACTCATCTAGCCTCCATGGTATTAGACCACTAAAGTTTCAGTTACTGTTTGGAAGAGAGAACTGCTTTCCTCCCCGCTGTTAGAATGCTATCAAATTAGCAAGTGTAGTACAGGGGAAGTAAGTGAACATATCTGTTATTAACGGCCCCATATTGTCTGGATAATTCACCAAAACAGAATCTTGAAAGTTGAAACTATCACTAAGAAATCGATTCAAGAGATATATCTTACAATTCTTCTGCTTCTGACGATGACAAAAGTTAATACAATTAGATTAAACTGGCTGCAATTGCAAAGTCGTCTGAAATGCTCACTCTACCTAAAGGAATAATGTTTTTTCAAATTGTTTGACAAATTAAAGATTACTACAAGTAATAATGCTTGACCAGTCAAAAGAAAGTCTTTGGAATTTTGCAATAATAAGCGGACAGACATGAATGGAACATAAAGAACTCAAGTAGGATGCAAGAAGGAACAAACCTCGGGAGCTAGCCACCTATAACCATCTGTTTCGTACTCCATGGCTTCACCAACACTATTGCAAGCAGCAAGAATACCCATATCGCCTAAGCAAGCATTCCCCTGTTTGTCTAACAAGATCCTCTGTGTATTAAGATCTCTATATGCAATTCCATGATCATTCATGAACTTAATTCCCTCAGCTATGTCAATGGCAATCCTCATTATCTCTTTAGTCTGGAGTTTCTTCTTCTTGAGCAATAAGTCATGAACCGATCCACCTTCCATCAACTTAGTCACAACGCACAACCCATGATTTTCGTCAATGCAAACACCAAAAAGTTGCAATATACCCTTGTGCCCACAAGTCATCAACTCCAACAAATCTTTTCGAAGCTCAAATTCATAGGCATTGCCCTTATCACATCCCTTTAGTTTCTCAATTCCAACCTTTTTGCCCTTGTATGCCCCTCTAAATGTATTAGGTCCAATCTGATCAGCAAACTCGAGATTATCCGAGCTCAACAACCACCTTCCAATCTCATCTCCACAAGATTGCACTGTCTGCCATTCATCAACTGACACAGTAAATGTTTCATCGGGTAAAGGAATTTGCAATTGAACTTCTGAGCTCAAATTCTCAAACCCATTTCTGTAATTAACCTGCCCATTATCCTCTTCAATCTCTCCTAACTCTCTCCTTCTTGTGTTCTCCTCTTGACATCCACAAAGCCCAAAGGGTAGCTTCATAGAAGTAGATTTCGGCTTCTTAACAGCTGATTTGATCGCATTTTCAATCCTACTCCTAAACATTCTTTCTCCTCCAGATTGAACCAAAAGCATCACAACCCCCAATGTAAAACTTTTCTTTTCGAAGATCTGTATCTTTTTACAACAAATGGAAGCACTGTCAAGCGCCCCAGACATTGCAGGCCACGAAATGGAACAGTTACAAGCAAATGTAAGCTTGAAAATAACCCCAGCCACGTCATCATCAAACACCTCTTCAATCATAATCGCTGGTTGGTCCTCTACTGACGCTTGCTCGATCAATTTAATATGTAAAAACACCTCCTTCATTTCGAATCCCGCTTGCGCATAGCTAACAAACAAAAAAACAATCAATTTCAAAGCAAATCAAGAATAAATAGAGACAACGTTTTAAGTGCGGATCCAGTGTTGATTCCTGAAATATTTTGGAAAATCGTAAAAAAAAGCTAAACCTGAGGGGCAAAGAATCGTAATGCTTGCGAATGTTAGAGACAAGCTTCTCGGGAAGTTGACTGCCAGGGTAAAGTTGAGTCAAGCTACGTACAACACTACCCCAAACATGTTTCCGACAAGTTTCGACCCGGTTCGAGGGAGGACCAGTCGACTCACGAACCGAGTCAATGCTAAGCGAGTTCTTAAGTGAAGCAATGGCCTCAGAAACGTTCCGGCTCAACCTCTGGAAACGCTTCTGCATAGCTGAAGACTCTTTAAAACCTCCATCTGAACCGGCACTGCTTGGACCGGATGAAGAAGCATTTTCCAGTTGAGCCTCCGATCTATCATTTGTTCTCATTAAGACTTGTTCCACCATGTCTTCATCCGTACTGGTTCGGCTCGACCAGCATTCTAAAGCTGCGGCCATGGTTTAAGACTAGTATTCAAGTTTTGAATTGAATGTATATATTTATCGAAACGGAGTTAAAATAAAAGAGTGACTAGAATGAAATTTTTCTTATAGTGGTATGAGATTTTAGTGTGTACTAACTACAGTTTTGAGTCCGACATGAGAGTGGCTGGCGACTCGTGACTAAAGGGGTAAAAAGAGTGGTTTTTTGGGAGCCGGCGAAAAATAAATAGGGGGATGTCAATGGGGTGTGATTGAGAGCGGAAAGGCCCATGGGAGTAATGTGATGATACGTGGAAATACGAGTGTGCACGGAAATAATGATTTGTTATCCGGTGTCCTTGGAGCTACATATAGGACCCAATATTGATTACTCCTTCTATTAAGCTATTTCATTTTTGGCTCGTTCTAAAAATAATGACGTTTTTTTAAATTTAGAAATAATTTAGCTTAAATTTTCAAGTCAATCGTTAATGAGAAATATTTAGAATCACACAAATACTCTAGATCCCTTTTTTGATTTGTTTAGAACCACAAATTCTAAAAGTCTTCATTTTTTCTTAAACTCTGTATTCAGTCAAATAGATTCACATAAATTGAAATGGAGGGAGTATTAACGAAAAAAAGGGAAATGGTAACATCAAGCGTCTAAATCTCAGTAGGTAGAGCGTATGTTTCCTAGGTAATAAGTCGTAGGTTCGACACCTATATTATCCGTTGCTTTGTATCTTTTTTCGAGAAATTTTATTGTGTGTGAAGTTCCTTTTTATCTCACAAATTTGTAGACCCAATTTTATATTTTTGGGTCCATAAAAATCTGAGTCCATAAAACTGTAAGACAAAAAAGATGCATCATACAACTAGTGACAACTAATGTCATGAGACACAAAATAAAAAATTTCCCTTTTTCCTTTTTGAATTGTTAACTCATTTTCTTCCTTTAACTTTGCTTTAAAAATAAGGCAAAATGCACTTAAATTTACCCACTAAATTTTAAGGCAAAATGCACTTAAAGAACCCCTTAATTTGATTTGGCAGTATGTGTGAATATACATGCTAATGAATTTGTTCTCACCTAGAAAAGTTAAAAAGTATTTGCATTTCCATATTTGCCCTTAATTTCACATTTCTCTCCCTGCTTAGTGCCCACCATCGTCGTTGCCACCATTTCAGCATCTTCAAACCAGCGAAAACCCCAAACACAAAAAGCTGAAAAACCTTTTTCATTTTGCACCATCCACAAAACAAAAGTCAGAAAAAATTTCAATAATATCGATAACACAAATAAATTACATGTTCAAGTGAAATGCTCTAAAAACAAAACTACCCTCACTAATGTCCTCTGCCATCAAAGATTTCTTTTACTTTTGTGTGTCCAGATTCAGGCCATGTTTTCCATGAACTTTGGGGAGAAACAGATGAGGAATCTAAAACAAGACCAAAGTTGGTAAGCTTCTTGATTTATCGGATTCCAGCAGCGAGGAAGAACGAGTTTGAGCTTGCGGAACAAACAACATCAAAGAGAAAACAAATGTTTATAATATACGTTAAGCATATTTGGTGGTCTAGGTTAGTAATTTTCAGAAAGAACGTCAATGGCGGAGTTTCCTGCTAAGTCTCGATCTTTCTGAAAATCTATCAGAACCATAACTGGGGGGAGAGATTGGGATAAAGAAAATAAAAAAGTCGGAGGAGCAAAAGGGACAAGCAGTTAGGGGTGCAGGAGGACTTGGAGAAGAACAAAAAGAAAGGGGTTATTTGCTTTTCTTTTTTCTTTTCTTAATTAAATGTGTTTAGACTTTAATTTCTTTCATTAGATGTGTTATATGATGATTCGTTACTTTGACACACCAATTGCATTTATATTTTCCATGTGAGGTTTACCAAATCGAGGGTTCATGGGACACACTTTTGCCTAGAATAGGCGTCTGTCTTATTAGTACTAAGTAAGTTTAAGTGTCAAATTAAAATTGATAGTTCGGACTAAGTTTAAGTATCTATGTATGTATTCTGCCAAAAGTCAAATACCTCCGCCAACTTTGAAAATAGGCACTCTCCCTCCTTTATCTTAATTGAACATTTTAAATACATATTTTACTCTCTATTATCAACTTATATCTCTTTTTACTTTTTTTATATTATGATACCTTTTTCTTCTTTAACTATATTATGAACTTACTTATAAAATAAATCAATCTTATTTATCAAATAAATAAGTAAAAGATTATTTTCAAGCATATATAATATTGAAATAGTAAAAGAATTGAGTAAAATAAATAAAAATTAATTAGAATGAAACTATGGTAAGTGAAGGTGATAAAAGGGGACGGGATAGACCTAAAATCACATATAAGGAAGTTATTTCGAAAGACCTACAAATTCTTGGGATCAGTACAGACTTACATAAAGATAGGTGCCATGATCTTAATTCCCCACCAAAGCTGTGACGGCGCCTAATACTACTTGCTAGGCAAGCAAAAAAAATAATAGCAAAAAACCCAATAACAGGATAAGATAGTCTTAATAGCTGAATAATCATAAATGATAGAAGTCAATAGCATTCATACAACTAAATTATCCCACAATCTGATGTCACTGAGTACATGAGCGCTACAGAATTTGTAAATACATAGTATGATCCAAAATACACAACTGTCTAAAAGATAGAACAGTAATAGCATAAATAAAAGGAGGAAGGGACTTCAAGGTCTGCGAACAAATTCAACAACTACCTCGAAACCTTCAAAAGAAATTGGTACTGGTGCAACCCATTAGCGATCACCTCTCTTGGAGTACCTGAATCTGTACAGGAAGTCTGGAGTATAGTATGGGTACAATCGACCCAATGTACTTAATATGTAACAAGCCTAACCTCAAGCTAAAAGTAGTGGTGAGCTCCGCAGGTCCAAATACTCATTTTCAATAACCCATTATAACAGTAATAGAATAATAATGCTAAAGACAAGTAGCTCAAGCATTATTATATTCAACCTTTTCACAAATAGAAGGTTGAATATAATCCATTATAACAGTAATAGAATAATATTGCTAAAGACAAGTAGCTCAAGCATTATTATATTCAACCTTTTCACAAATAGAAGGAATGTGGCTTGCTTTTCAAAAAAAAGCAATTAAGGCTTTTTCCACACATAAGTCATTTAAACATGGCTTCATCAACTTAACAGTGATTCCAAGTCCAACACATTGAATAAGCACAACAAGTACAAATATGCAAAAGAGAAGGGATACGTCCTGGTACCTGTATGACAAGTATGTATGCTAGAATCAATAATGTTGTAGTTTAAAATATCAAATATGTCATATCTCAGAACGTGTGTAGTGCCTGGCACATTTGCCATGGGACCCTCACGCTAAACAATAATAATACTCAGCACTGTACGAGTGCGTGACACAAGTCCCTCACCAAAGCACCTATGTGACTGTTTTCCTGCGCCCGCAGTTTAACCTGACTTCGGAAGGGAGGGTGATTGATCAAACGCTGATCGGATCTAAGTCAACGATCAATATCACATAGCCCAACATGGGGCCTAGCATATGTGTCATCTCATAATCATTATCACTTAGCCCAATATGGGGTCGGGCATACGCGTCACCTTATAATCAATACCAAATCGACTTTATGGACCCAAGCTCAGTCATCAATCGCTCAAGTCTCAAATATTTGCATCTCATAGTACTCAACTCAAACTGTGTCAGACATATAAGGACATCAATAATATGTGAGATAGTATTTAAAGAAGGTACATAAACAGTGATATAATACGTGGATAAAGCATCATGACTAAGAGTATGACTACAACTAAGCCAAACAACTCAAAATAGCAAGAATATCCCTATCTTCTTAAGTCCCCACTTTCAAAATCATTTTGAATAATTGGAACATGTGAAATATTATCACTTGGAATAATAGGAGCATCAGAAATATTCTCAAATTTTAAAGGAAAAATTTTTTCAAAAAAAATCAGCATTTTTTGTTTCAACAATAATATAGTGTTCAAGCACGTCACTTTGACTATTAAAAATCTATATGCTGCACTACTTTCAGCATACCCAATAAACATACAATCAGATATTTTAGACTATATTTTTCTTTTCTTAGGATCGGATAACATAACTTTAGCAAGGTACCCCCACACTTTCAAATATTTCAAATTAGGGGAATAGCCTTTCCACAACTCATAAGGAGTTTTACCCATTTCTTATAGGGAATTCTATTTTGTAAATGACAAGCAGATAAAATGGTTTCACCCCAAAGATTATCCGGGGCACCAGAACTAACAAGCATGTTATTCATCATTTCCTTTAAGGTCCTATTTTTCTTTCCGCTACACCATTTGATTGTGGAGAATATGGCGGAGTTATCTCGTGAATTATGCCTTCTTTCTCACAATAATCATTCAACAAAATAAATTTACCACCTCTATCAGATCTAACTTTTTTGATTTTCTTATCTAATTGATTTTCTACTTAAGATTTATAAATTAAAAGCTTCATCTTTATTTCTTAACAAATAAACTTTTGTATATCTAGAAAAATCGTTTATAAAAGTCACATAATATTTTTTCCCTCCTCTAGTCATAGTTTGTTTAGCTTCTGACAAACTTCACACTTATCAATATTTGAAAAATTAATATTTAATATCAGACCTCCGGAATGCATTTTCTTAATATAAGATAAGCTAACATATCCTAATCTAGCATGCCATAAATTAAAAGAGTCAATCAAATAAGCAGAAGTACTAGCATTTTCATTCATAACATTGAGTACAAACAATCCATGGTTATAATAACCCTTGCCAACAAAATTATTATTCTTGGTCAACACGACCTTATCATATCAAAAGAAACCTTCACCCCTACTTTTTCTAATAATCCCACGGAGACCAAATTGGCTCGGATACTAGGAACATGCAACACGTCATTAAATGCCAAAGTTTTGCCAGATGTGAATTTGAGAAGAACTTTGTCTTTCCAAGAACTTGAGTAGTTCTTGAATCACCAAGATAGACAATTTCTTCTCCCTCCTCAACTTGGGTGTAAGACACAAAGTCTTTTTTGTTAGCACATATGTGCCTAGTGGCACCAGAATCTATCACTCAATCTTTCACATTGGCTACAAGGTTCACTTGGAAAACAACCACAATAATTATATCATCCACTTTGGCTTCAGTCAAATTTACTTTAGTCTTAGTAGGATTGTCATTCCCAACCCTTTTTCGGTATTGAGCAACGCAGTGGCCAAGTTTGCCATACACAAAGGAGTTGCCTATTTTCTTGAAGGTTTGATTGTTGGTTTTGGGCTTATAACCATTTATTTTGTCATACATGTTACTTAATTTTCTCTGAGGGTTGTTGTCCTCCACAAGGTTGCTTCTAGTAGCAATTTCTTTTTCTTTGTCAACAACAGCTTGCTTGCGGTTAAATTTACCTCCACCAAAAACCACAATTTTCGAAACAACGGGAAAAGATTTGGCATGTGTAATTAGCGATAGAACAACAACAGAAACAGTAGGAGCAGCGGGTGTAGTAGCAACAACAACAACATTAGCAGCATTATTCTCCATAATAATAGTGTGTAAATATCCTTAAGATTGTTGTAAAATTATTAGATTATGGAGAATAAGATTTAGCTTGAGGCGTGCCAAAGACATTGTCCTTAAGGATATTTCGCATACACCGTAATGAATAAAATTAGGCATATCCCCCAGGATTCAACAAGCTCTTCTAGTATAACTAAGAGCAGAAACAACAAAGATTAATGAGAAGAAAACCCGACATAAAAGATAAGGGAAGAAAAGTTTTTAACTTTTTTCTTTTACACAGTCCTCAAGATGTAAAAAAAATAAATATAAATAGTGCAAAAGAAATGCACAATCTGATAAGAAATTGTCTAAGCCATAAAGGTTTTCCAAAGCTTACAAAACGTTCAAATTCAAACATACAAAAATGTTAAAATTCAAAGCCATTAAGGCTGTCAAATGCTCAATTATTCTTTCCGGTATAACTTCTACCCACTAATGAGCATTCAATAATCAGATTTATTTTGTCCCAAGTGAATTCAAAATTAAACTAATTTTCTGTTATAAATATATTTAAAATAATTACTATAATAATGACTCATTAATATAATGGTATGAAAATGAATCTAAATATAGTTTTAGAATATTTCTTTTTGAGATATCAAAAATATTTTCTATCAACAAGTACCATCAAATTGCAATGAAACCAATAAAATTGATACGATGGTATATCCTTCATTTGTGTGATTCCTTGCATCCGCTCGATCAGCTAAAGGCCTTCAATAGTAGTTCCAAAATACCAATTAAAAACTATCCAGTAGGTGGGAAATGACTGCATTCGGTGAGCATAATCATGCAACATATTTATAATCCATCAGTCTGCTTTGTTAAAATAGTATCTCGAACGTGACCATTGTCACGACCCAATTACTCACCTGAGGATGTCATGATGACACCTAATCTCTAAGACTAAATAAGCCTAATATGCATGGAGAAATAGTGGACATAATAATAAAACTTCGAATTTAAAACATCTAGCTATCATAATAGAACTCAACAATAACGCTGACAATAACTTACAAAATCTGGTGAGACTGAGTCAAAAGCTCTACACGAATATACTGTAAAATTTCTAATACATCACTGTCTAAATAAATAGTAAGCAGTCGAAAAACAAGGACAGAGAGTGACTCTGTGATGACCCAAAAGGTCATCACTTGATTTACGAGTAAATTCT